ATTTAGGCATAAATTTAAAATTTCATCAGAGTACATTTGCAACATGGCATAAAAGGGAAATATCACATTATCATAAAAATTCCAACACATACAACACCTGCTCAACATATATGCAACAACGGAATAACACCCACAAGAAATATTTAGAACAAAGGCGGAAATATCCAAATATTTCATAATTCACCAAACATGTATTCACATATACAGTTATCATTCATCATGTTTTACAAAACATAACAACAGCAGATACATACTCATATGTATCACAAGAGAATCAAAATAAATCCTATTCTACCCGGTGCTACATATCAGAGCCGACCGACCAAAAAGGGAAGAAGCCACGCTTCACAAAATACTTCCAGCAATCTAGTCTGCAATGCCTCATAGAGCATTAAAAGAAACAACAGAAGGGTGAGAAACGATATCATAATAACAATGCATAAAAACATATATATATATATATATATATATATATATATATATATATATATATATATATATATATATATATATATATATATATATATATATATATATATATATATATATATATATATATATATATATATATATATATATATATATATATATATATATATATATATATATATATATATATATATATATATATATATATATATATATATATATATATATATATATATATATATATATATATATATATATATATATATATATATATATATATATACTTAATACCCAAAATACGTCTTTCGCATTCTCACCGCAACTCACCTCGTCATACTGTACATCGCAATGTATTCACATTATCTATTTACAAATAGAACATCATGCATATACAATATGTGTTAACAATGTTTATATCGGTTCATAAACACACAAAACATACATATTCATATATTCACACATACATGTGTCTTCAAGCATACCAATCATGCCAATCATCAACAATTCATATAAACATTTACAATTATGTTCATTCACCATACACCATGCAGGATGTCAACATGCAACTCATAGAGACCGACACACGACTCTATGCAGATGCAAATGCGGTACCGACTCATTTCAGCAGGTTCAATTGAAGAACCAAATAACCATCGCTCACACCCCACATGGGCACACGAGGTTCTGCAGATTCTACGCGGAATCAAAATAACCATCGTTATATACGAGGTTCTGCAAATCCACCGAGGGATCAATAATTAACCATCGCTCACACCCCACAAGGGCACACGAGGTTCTGCAGATTCACCGAGTAATCAATAATTAACCATCGCTCACACCCCACGAGGGCACACGAGGTTCTGCAGATTCACCGAGGAATCAATCGACACAAGAATGCATACCATGATGCTTCACATGCAACATGACTCATGACACTCTTGAAATGCACACATGTTTACAAACATACTCATGCATTCTACACATTCATACAAACATCATAGATTTTTAATCAGGCTAAACAATGCACATAATTGCCCAAGCGGCCACAATTCATAATCTAGGATTCACGCCATACGGCTACCCACAGCACAACACAACCCAGCATATCAACTACTAAATCAAAGAAGGGTCGATCGCAACCGAAACCCCAAGCCACGACAGCACCCAGCAACAGGGAAATCCATCCTGCTACGTTCGCTACACGCTCGCCTAGCGAGCTGCTAGCGAGCGTTCGCTACCTCCTCGCCTAGCGAACTGCTAGCGAGCCAGCACAGAGGCTACAGACCTTGTTCGCTACACCGTTCGCCACAGCGAACCTCCAGCGAGCTCCTCGCTACTCCCTTCGCTGCCAGCGAGGGACATTAAAACCATTATGTCCCAAGTCTGGGACCGTTCGCTGCGCACTCGCCTAGCAAACTACCAGCGACCATTCGCGACCTGCTCGCCTAGCGAACTGCTAGCGAGCGTCTGCGATTTCCACTTCTCCCCACTGTTCAGAATCCTAAACCACCGATAAAATCACCCGATGAACTCCAACTCATATCCAGCAGCCTTAGTCTAACATATACCGACTAATCTACGCCATCTAATCACGATTCTAACCGTTAGACAACGATTTCTATCGATTAAACCAAATTCAACCTAAAATGGAAAGTGTAGAAAAACTACCAACAATCCAAAACAATCCAACAAAATCATACATGATTATACACATTGATAGAATAATAAAGTTTCACACCCTTACCCGAACAATCGAAAGCTTTGGTGATGATTTCTTGAAGTTCTAGGTTTTTCCTCTTCTTTCTCTCCTCTTTCTCTTCTCTTCCTTTCTTTCTCTTGTTTTTCTCTCTATCTTACTAACTTTCTCTTTTTCTCTCATATACTCATATTCTCTTTTCTTTCCTCTCAAATTCTTTCCACACACTAATTAATCAATTCACATAAAATATCCACTTAACATAATTACTAATGCCCAAAATACCCTCCGGTCTATTTTTACCCGATACTCTCCAAGTAGGCAAAAATAGCACAATATGCACAAATAACATATTAAACACACAATTCCACATTTAAAATAAAAATTCAATTAATTAAATCAGAAAGGACTCAAAATAAAGGAAATTCAGAATCGGGGCGTTACATGAACCAACTAAAATTGACCTGATACTAACACGCACTGCTCCACTAAACCTGATCGTCATAGTTGCCACCAGACCTCCGCTAAACTTCTTGGCTCTACCACCACAATAACTTTGGCACTACCGACCCCCGCCACATGCCGACTTCTAATTAGTTTGAGCTTATCATCCAGGTTCTTCATCTTGATCAGATAATCTTCCATTTTCATTTCTTCTTTTTCTAGTGCTATGGAACTTAGGTTTGAGATAAGTAACTTATGACCTTGTGTGAGCACCAGTTAAACTTTGAGCTTCTTCCCAAAGTTACATTGAAGTTTCATAGTGTAAATAAATATGTTGTTATGCTAGCAATCATTGAATTTCTCAACCATCTAAGGAGTTGTTGATCATATGCTTGTCAATCTTCAAACTCATGATTGGATGTTTTTGTTTGAATATGTAGGAGTGATGAATTCTTCAGGGAACTTCTTATTCCCTAATATGTAACCATTAAGCATTGTACCTCTAAAATACCATTGATTTTCATAATGGGTAGTTGTCTCTGTCTAACTTGAAAGAAAATGGCTTGTACTGGATCTTGAAGGCACTTAAAGCGCTTTAATGCCAAAATAGAAAATTGTGTAATTGTATATTGATTATATTTTATAATCTGATGGACATGCACATATATGCAATGATAGTTTGGTCAACAAAATCCAAGAAGAATCAAGCTAATAATAATAACTATATCTCAACATAGAAATTATTAATGTTAGATTAATAATGACTTGTTAATTATAATTAAATACGAACAATTACATTTTGATATGAGCCAAGTTACAAGGAATTGTGTCTAACTAGACACACATCATAGATAGCTAGGTCTACACATATATATTATGTAAAAATGGTTAAATATGTTTGTGGTCCTCCTAAATATCTCAAATTTAATTTAGTCCTTTAAAATATTTTCTTCAAAGAATAGTCCTCCTAATATTTTTATCCGCACTTTTAGTCCTTAGTACTAAAATTATTACTCAAACTATCGCTAATTCAGTCGTTAAGTTAAAAACCGTCGCTCAAACTATCGTTAATTATGTCGCTAAATTGTAAAAACCGTCGCTCAAACTATCGTTAATTATGTCGCTAAATTGTAAAAATCGTCGATAAATTGCAGAAGGGACAAAAAATGTGAATTAAAACTTTTATAAAAATCATTCTTTAAAGAAAATATTGAGAGACTAAAAACGAAATTGAAATTGAAATATTTATGGAGACTATAAAATATTTAACCCTTGTAAAAATGATATAAAGCTTTCCTGCAAAACTCTTCCTCCAAATATCTACCAAATTCAATTCTCCTTCCCTCGAATTGCTGCAAAATACTGGCCATAAAATCAATGTGAAATCATACCTCTAATTGTTGTACTTTATTGCTTTGGAAAATCAATTATTTCTCAAGTGTTACTAGCATTGATTTTGATGAAAGCAAATGGTGTTTAGAAAGTTTGTCAATTGTTGAAAGATTTCCTAGAAGTTATAGAAGCAATAACTGATTTCAAAACTTACTAGTAGATCCATTGAAAATTTATAATTGTGAAACAAATCTTCTTTTTATAGTTTTTGAAAGACGATACTTTTACTAAAATTATGATTGTGTATAGTATAATTAAGTGCTTGTTTGGTAAATCATCAAAATAAAAAGAAAATTGTGTATCTATTCTCCAGAGTCGCAACAACTAAATAGAATAGGTTAATGAATGCAGTGTGGAATGAGCTAGAGAAGGAAAACAGAGAATTTTTTGAGTCATACATGAGGCCGAAGAGTAGTACTACTAAAGAGGAAATGATGAGGTCCAAGGAAGAAACAACTTCGTGATTTCAACTTTGGATTCCTCTCAAAATCCACAACAAGACGACAAATAACATAATAATTCAGCTGTTGAAAATTATGACCAATTCAGATTCTTTAATACGTCCTGATGTCCTATGCATCCAGCCAAAAAACTCACAAGGAAAGTATTCTCTACTTTATTATCACTAGCTAGTGCTATTCTATGTCAATTATTATGTTATTGTAATGTTCAAGGTATCATCCGTACGATTTCTCAAACAATGTATGTAAATATTCATGTCATGTATATATATGTTTAATTTTTCAGAAGAAAACGTTGTTTTCCTTTAATCAGTTCTTTAAGTTGCCGTAAATTGTGATTTGTGTCTAAAGTTTAGCGCAATTAGAAAATCATTCAGGAACATCAGATTGACGAAAAACACTAATCGTGGATCAACAAAATACGCATTAACAAACCACACATTTATTATAGAAGAGAGCAACATACTAATTCAACTGTTCAAAATGATAAGTTACAACATACTATTCTTATTTCTTAACAACCTTCAATCATAGTGCATGTCAGGTGTTGTTCATTAAACTCATAGTTTCGAGCTACTTCATGGATTGACCTTTGGTAACCATCCAGCAATGACGTATTCCTTTGCAGCCTTGGTTTTCTCAAACGATTCACGAGCAAAGAGCAGCTGCAATGTAACATTATTATCTATCAACCAACCGAATCATATACAGTTTGTGCTTCATTATGTGGAAAAAATTCTCATAACAAAATGCCAAACAATTTCATGTGCGGTTTTCACATATGTTCAATGGCAATGCATAAGACATGATTGCAAGATTATCTCGGTTTTCACAAATGTTCAATGGCAATGCATAAGACATGATTGCAAGACTGACTTTGAGGTGGTGCAAGGTGATCTACACCACAGGGCCTCACATACATTTTCATGATTAAGCTATGGCAAAAAGAACCTCCATACACATAATTCACGGTTAATTTTACAGTTAAATAGGACCCGTTACAAAAATTCACGACTCATCTGAAGCTAATTTCAACTTATAACACAACTGCTTACCTTAACGTAGTTGTGAACATGTGTCAAACTCTCAGGAATAGTCCAATTCTTGAAGTGGCCAAGTGCAACCACTAGATGGTAAAGTTTTGGAGCCAAACTCAAATCAGCAGCAGTGACCTTCTCACCGGCAACATATGGACCCTGGGTTGCCATACATAACTCCAACATATTAGTGTGGCTAATTAGCTATTACCATAAGGTAAAAAAAACTTAACGAAAACTAAGATTGTTGATTATAAATGCCCATATATATACATTGGCCTTAAGATGCTCCTCCAAAGCATTCAGTTCAGCAAGCAAAGCTTGCTCTGTTCCATCATTTGAATCCTTGCTCTTCACAAAGCTCACAAAAGTCCCAAATATCTGTGACCCACTGAAATTATGAACATGGAGTGAGTACAGCCAAACATTTTGTTTGTAATCCATCCAGGAGATTTAACAGAAACAAGCTGAAAATTGTTTATGAACATATCATAAATTGTTTCCACAAGCTCTCTTAAAGAGTTTTAAGAGTGTTTACGCAAGTAAGTAAGCTCAAATAAATCAATCCAAATAATTATTTGTACTAATTTAACTGTTCACATAACCACATTTCCACTCACATCCCCCACCCCCACAAAAGAAGAACAGACAAAAAAAGATCATAACCAACATCAACATAAACATCAATGCAGAAAGTAACACTCCCATGATCTTAAACACCGTCTTCAAAGTGTGAATTGTCATAACCTCTTTTCAAGGATGATCTTTCCCCTTAAACATCACCACAAAAAAAGAACAAAAGAAAATTTTACCATAGGAAAAAATATCAACAGTAATAATTTTCAGACACCCATTTTCTCCTACAAATCACTTTAGAAAAAGTGGTTAATTCAGTTGAGTAGACAATCAATTCAATTCAAGATCAAAATTGTAATTTTTTTATTTTTTACTTTGGCATCCGGCCTTTGAGATTGACTAATCTAAGGAGACCAATTCCACCTTCCACTAGTGGAGCTGTTTAAAGTCAGCGCAAAGTTCTATAAGACTCGCTCAACACAAAGATGGTTATTTGTTAGCACTTGGCACGAATCTAACCCGAGACCTTGAGAAGAGCACATTCTCAATACCCCAACGGATCAAAATTGTAATTAATTCAACTACATAATTTACCATAATTTGACAATTTTATGCATGGTCTAAATTAACCAACAAGTCAATTAAATTAACCACAGACTTGCATGTGATTTGCAAGTTGGTACGTGTGTAGAAAAAATTAAGGGTGCATGAAACATTTTTGAACAAAATTGGACCAACAGTGACAGCAACACAACGAAAATAAAACGGTGTGAAAAAGTAAACCCTAAAAGGACTAAAATAGAGAGAGTCAATTTGAAGAACCATACACTGAGGAAAATTGCGGAGGAGTAACAAGAGATGGTTCAGGGTATTTCTCTTCAAGAATCCCCACAATAACATCAGAATCAGGAACCCATTTTCCATCAAACTTAACCACTGGAACCTTCCCTTCCGGATTCACCTCCAAAAACCTAACAACAAACCAATAAATGATCCACAAATTTCAACAAAATACACGCAAACAATACATGCAGAGTTGATTTTAGAGTACCATTGGGGTTTGTTAGAGACATCAATCAGGTGAGTATTGTACGCGACCTTCTTCTCTTCCAAAGTTAACAGCGCTCTTTGTGAAAATGGACCTGAAATGAGAACCAAACAAAATCAAAACTTGAAAAATGAAGAAGAACAAATAACCGAAAACTAGAGAGGGAGAGAGAAGCGAACAGTCTCCGAGGATAGTCGGAGCACCAACGGCGGCCTTCACGGCGATCTCGAGAGCCATTTGCTATGAGTGAATGGATGGAGAGAAATGCGAAGAGAGAATGTGGATTGGCGAATGAATGGTGAGTGTTTTGTGATTGATTGGTGCTATGCTTTTATAACGATGGAATGTTGGTTAAGGAAATTGTCAGTCTTCTTAAAATACTCTAATGTTTATTAAACATATGAGATTAAGTTTGACATGGTACTATTACAAAAGTTATATTATTAATACATCACATAATGTATCTTTGCTTTGTATCATAAAAAAGTATTTATTTAAATTGTATGAAATTTAAAATAAAAATAACTAATATTTCTTTTTGGCATTATTATAAATGAAAATTTGTTTTTAGGTTGGTTGAATATGTGATGTGTTTGGTCTATATATATATATATATATAGACTAGATACATCAATTATACCCCTGTCGTCAGACCGAAACACCAAAGTACATTCAAAATATTAGAGTTTACCTTTCTATATAAGTTTATCCTTCTTTTGTGAATCCCACTAGTCTTCACAAGATCATTGGCGTCGTCTGTGGGGAACACAGTTGACAACTATTACCAGTACAATTAACATTTAGAATCATAAACGAAGGGCAATGAATCGTAATGTAATTGACGACTAAACCCCATCAATTTCTTGCTAGTGATAACATCAAAATTACCCACAGGTCGGAGGACAGACCCATATCTTCTTCATCGCACAGGTGAACATCAAATCCTCCACCGCGGTCATAACGTTTTCATTGTCTTCTTTATAAGTCAATGACATCTAACCACTGGCAAACTCTTTGCTACCCGAAGGGTGTTTAGTAGGGATGTAAATGGATATCCATGGGGGCGGATAGTATGATATCAGTGTCTGCCCCGTTGGATAAATATGATATCCGTATCTGCCCCATATCCATGCGGATATCAGTTAAGCGGGTAATCCACGGGTTTTAAAGTATCCGCGGATATTTACAGATATCCATGAATAACTTTTTTTGTCTAAAATTATTTTTTAAAAATATATTTTTTCGCTCTCAATTTAACAACTAAACTTCATCATATTATTTTCATTCTTTTTTCACTAAAACATAATAACATTCAAACATAATATCCATACATTTCATTTTTAACAAAATAAAATTCATCATACCATATAATAATTGTTTAAATAAAACAAAAAGTAATAATGCAAATAGTTTTCATCAATCATTACAAAATTCCATATTATGCATTCCTGGCTTAACATTCATACTTTGACGTCTATAATAAATTAAAAATATTTAAATACTTTTTATAATTTATTAACGGGTATGGATATCCGCGGGTACGGGTATCATTAAACCTGCATCCACATCTATTAAATAACAGATATTTAAATATCCATTTATTTTATCCATGGATATCCATTAAGCTATCCACATTGTATCCGTGACGGATTATATCCGCGGGCACGGGCTTTTTTGTCATCCCTAGTGTTTAGTATGGAGATATGTGCTTGCAAGTACAATCATCAACAAATGATTCTTGGTGATTTTGATGTTGACAACACCTAATCTCAAATGACATTTAAGGGAATCATTGAATATCTTTGATCAAGCAACCTTTGGTGTTAACGTCTATCAAATAAGTCATATAAAATCTCATCAGATATAAGAAGCCAAGTCCTAAATGAAGTTATATAAAAAAGAAACGAATATTTTAAAAAATATCATTTTTTTATTCATCATTGCAAGATTTTTCTATACATGAGGAAGTTGAAAATACAACCACAACATTTAATCTTAAATGAAGAAAGGGAAAATATAACTAGGTTGATTAACCGCCGCTTATTCTTTTCACTCAGTGTGGCTGAAAATTCTGGCCAGCCCATGATGGATGTTCTAACAGAAGTTGTAACATCCATTGTGACATTCACTACAGACCTACTATTATGCAGTAATAACAAAGCAGTAAATAACACAGTTAGTTGTTGACCCAGTTCAGTGCAACACACTTACATCTGGGGGCTACCAAGCCAGGGAGAAATTTCACTATCAGCAGTATCAATTCAGAGTCAAACCTCCAGTTTGCACTCCTCACTTAATCACTACCCGATGACAATATAACCTAGAGACACTCTAGACCTGAGTATACCCACTCACTCTCTACAATCACACACCAGTGATATCAAACAGTAATTATTTAACAGTAGAATGAAGACACACTTCAACTACACACACACCTTGATCTTGCTTCAAAGCTTTGATCAAGTAACACACACTCTTGCTTGACAGCTTCGAGTGCTACACAGCCTAGAAACTACCTAACCAATACAATCAACAGTTATTTGGGTTACAAGGATTCTTAAGACACAATTGTGAAGAACAACCTCTTCACTTCTAAACCACTATGGTGATTTCTTTGCTTCTCTATTTCCAACAGTTGCCTTCTAGGATTGCTTCTCCTGTTATTTATAGCAGCAGATCAGTCCTTGGGCCTAGGTGCATAAGTTAGGTTTTATCCATCATAAAACCTCTCTTTAGTATTCTGCATGTTTGCCACTTTAATCAGGTACACATTAGTTCCCCTAGGGCGTCTAAAATGTCTCCTGCATTCCAGCTTGAGCTTCTGTGTTGTTTCCTGAGTTCTAGCTACCAGAATAACAAACTTCCGATTGATGTCATACGACCTATGTCTTAACATTAAGTATAACATCCAGCTTAACTCATAGTTAACTTAGTTAACTTACCCTCCACAGTCCATATTATGAATGTAGCAATATCAAACATGACATTCATACATGTACTCATATTTTGTCACAAAATGTTGCCAATCAAGAGCACTTACAGTGGCCAATTTAGCTATTTTTTAGGAGGACATATCCCCATTTTGATGACTTATCTAATGATAGAAGCTACATTAATCTCCATGGCCATGTGTTTTCCTTGATCTTTCTGGAAGGCTTGATATATTCTTTTTTTCCTCCTCAAGGTCAGTGTTGATGGTAGACGGTTCTCCTTTGAGATTGTGATGCTTCAGATTTAGATGCACCGGTGACGCAACGACATCTAACATGGGTTCAAAAGGTCTTCTTAAGATGCAAATGTATATGCTCTTGTAAGGGACAACAAGGAATTGTGAATTTACCTATCGGGTGTCTTTCCCGTCGCTTACGGAGACTACTAGCTCTACGTCTTCCCAAGGATGGGTAGTTGTATGATTGAATGCCTAGAGATATGATCCCTTATATGACCATATGTTACCTCTATCAAGGCCCATATTCTTGGAAAATTTTGAGTATCTTATGTCATAGGATTTTCCACCATCAATAAGAATCTGGGAAATGTCGATTTACCCCACCGTTATGATGATTACCATGGGAGATTCTTTTTTGGCGCCTTCAACCTTATTAGGGTCTCGGAACCCCAACATTGGTCAGTTAGGAACTTTTGCCAACGTGTTTGCCTCCTTTATATAGACGATCGTCATCTAGGAAATTTTCCTCTTTATTGTCCTTTTGGAATTGATGTTTTGCTTAGGGGAACCTCCAGTAATGGCGGTGATGTACAAGCATTTTCCCTAGCTAGTTTCCATGCTTATGTTGTTGGTCTCGACATCTGTAGTCTTCGAGGGGGGTTACCTTTAGACGGCTCCTCTTTATCTCTTTTATCGCCCTTAACTTACTTAGCCAATGGGCCCTTCTTAATCAGCCCACTAGATAGCATCTTTCAGTTGAACACAATCATCAGATTTATGGCTGTGACTCTTGTGTATATCGCACTAATTTTATTTATTAGTGCAGGATGTTTCTCAGACGGGGCATGAATGTCAGATTCCTGCCTTCTGAAACTCGACTTTGGTGCATTCCTTATAAATTTTCTCCCGAGAAATGGTCAGGAGGTGTACCTGTCATATCTTCCCTACATACCTATGTCAAGTTTCTCTTGGAACCAATGGGACTCCTTCATGACCGATTGTCAATAGTGGGTTTCGACTGAAGCAAGATTACTGAAATACGTGTTTAGCTTCTCCTTTAGAAGCATGTATGGTTCTTCCATGGTGAGCAACTCCTATAAAAATTTCACTTTCTTCCTTCCTATTCTCGACCTTAAAGGGTGGTTTCTCAAGAGACCTTTCTCGAAGATCCACACTAAAGGTTGTTCCATACTCCCTCGACTTCAACAACAACATATGTAAACTGATCTATGTAAGAATACAAGCGTCCCTTCTTTCCTTGGACGATCTCAGTGAAGGCGAATTCGGTCACCGGTCGTATTTTTTGGACTTTGAAGCAAACAAAAAATCGCTCACTGAAATTTGTCTAGGGTGTGATGCTACCATCTAGAAAGCTTTTGAATCACAACCGAGAGAATCTAATAAGAGTTAGTACAAAGAACTTGCATTTGGATGAATCATCGACACTGAAGTAGTTTATCGATTATTTATAAGTTGTACACACTCGTCGAGTTCTTATTTTCAATCATATTCGCCCACCTTGAGCGGCTTCTTCATAGATCTAGGGATCATGCTTTCAAGAATCCAAAGAGATAACGGATGCTTCAGTTACACCTTTCTTGGTTAATCTTCTGCTTGAACTCAGGAAGGATCGTGACTACCTCCCCCCCCCCCCCCCCCCCTTGAGGGACTCTGAGGATGAGTCTAATGCTTCAAGCTTCTATGATGGTCTCTAGATCAAGGAGTTTCACTTTTCTTCTCCCCAAACGAATCTAGTCTATAAGTCCTCTTGGACACAACCTCCTAGAAGGTGTTCTCACGAGGTGGTGCATTGTGGAGGCTTTCTTCAAGGAGTTGTAACTTCCCTTCAAGAGTGTTTGAGTTTTGCTATTGAGAAATGGTATACACTTTGTTCAACATTTCATTCTCACCTTGCACTCTGAGATTTTCTTGTAACATTTAGAGGTCAGGTAAGGCTTCTATATGTAAAACTGGAGGTAGAACAAGAGGATTGATCAGAGTTACTTGAATAGATCTGGCTATCTATAAAGACTTAACCATATGTGGATGCAACAAAATTGTGGCTCTA